TTTCTGGACTCACTCAGTTTTCCAAGGGCAGCTCCTAAGCTGTGTTCTCTGTCATTCCAGGTCCGAAGGATGGTTGGGGCTCTCGTTGCAGTTGGCCAGGGCAAGTTAACGCCTCATCGTATAAAGGAGTTACTGGAGTTAAAAGACTCAAGGGCTTTTCCACCAAACGCCATGGCTCCGCCATCTGGACTCTTCCTGAAATCCGTGGAATACAGTGAAGCAGGTGGGTGGATGCAGGGATTGGCATGATTTCTGTGGGAGTCAGATCTAACACTGCAACACCCACAGTCTCCCTTTGTGTGCTGTCAGACCTGTGGCTCACAGCTTTGCTCATTGACACCCGCATTACAGTGACCCCCCCCGGGGTGCAGAGGTGTGTGTGCAGCATAGCTGCTATGGAAGAATGGTGTAGTGTTTTTCCTGGTAGGTTTTTTCCTTTTACTTTCAGGTTAGCAAAAGAGCAGTTATGTTGACAATGGCTTTGAGGTCTCACATGGGTGATACTTGAAGTTCTCATAACTTGTTCTGTCCCTGACCATGTATAAAGATCAAACCTTCTGTGGCATCTGGGTACCTACAGATCCATTCCTGTTCCCTCCCTTCTCCCTTGCTGTGTATGGGGGGATTGTAGAGGCTGGAGGACAGAGAGCCCATCATCCTGTTGCTTATCTGGTGACTCTCTGTGTCAGTGGGGAGGGTGCCCAGGCAGGAAGGGAAGACCACAGATTTGAAGTGCTTTCAGGTGCTTCCAGTGCCATCCTTTTTTCCTAAATCAATGTTTTCTGTTTCTTCCTCTCAGATTTGGACACTACAGCGGCCCCAGGAGAATAGCAGCTCTGTGAGATACAGAAAGGACTGCTGAGGATGTGGGATGGAGGTTTGCCAAGTGCTCTTTACACAGTACACAATCTTGTCTCAATAAAAACCATTGACTGTGGCTGTGGGCATCTTCCAGTCGTTTGTTCTTGCCCTCTGAGACTGCCAAGGGGAAAGGAAGAACAACTCCATGCTGCTTTTAGATAACTGCTGTTGTGCTCTGTCTTCTGCTTCTGTGTTTGTCGCTCAAACAGGAGGAGGAAGGAGTGGGGTTTGGGGGTTTTGTGTGTAGATTTATCTATTTTTTGTATCCCTTCTGTGGTGTGTGTGTGTGTGTGAGAGGAATACAGGCTTAGAACAGAGGAGAATGTAGCATTTCCTCTCGGGCCTCCTCCTCTGTGACCCTTTGTACAGCATAGTGCAAGGGACAACTGTTGCTGTTTGATGCAGTGACTTACTGAAACGGCCTTTGAAAGTCCTTGCCATTTCCTCTCCTCATCAGCAGTCACTCTTGTGCTGAACTGTAGTGACTTTTACATTATCCTGGTACAGAGTGATGTCTGTTGCAGCGAGGATGTGGTGTGGTACAGACCAAAGTTCCTTTGAGGTCCCTTAAAACCTATTTTAATGGTCACAGCCTGGACTAGTAGCACAGGAACAACTCTATGAGCCTGACCATGAAATGAAACCTGTGTGGGACCAGGACCTAGAAGGTGGCTGCCACCGTTGCTAGCTTCAATTTGCTTGTTGCTTGCTACCTTCTGCTCTTTCAGAGCTGGTGAGCAGTGAGCAAAGGGTGGGTGAATCATGGTGTGGAGTACGGAGTAGAGAGATTTCTTTATTCCTTTTCCCCCCTTTTTCTTTCCAAACCACTTTAACCTCAGGTCTCGCCTGCTGGCTCAAGCAGTCGAACACACATTGGGTAACCTGTGGGTTGTTCTTCTCATAAAGGATACCAGAATCTGTTTTGGTTATACAATAACTGTTTTTAAAGTACCAGTTACAGGAAAGATGATGACGATTTTGACTTCTGAAGCTCAGAGAAGAAACAATACTTGGTGTAAGCACTCCACAGTGGAAACAATGTGCAGCTGAGGTGCCTGATACCACCATAACTGACCTCCCCTTTGTCCATGGGAGGAGGAGAGTTACAGAGCAGACAGCACAGTTGAGGACTCTGGAGTTTTGGGTCTCTTTGCTTGGTGGAAAGCCACAAGGTAAGCAGAGGAAAAGGCAGTGGTTCTTTTTGACCACTCTTAAGGCCACCCTTGCCTTGGTGATGGGGATTGAGTTAGTTGGTAGCCCTGATACAGAGCATGAGGACAGCCTGTTTCTGGGTGTCTCTTCATGAGAAGGGATTCATCTTTTTCCAGCTCTGTTCCAGGTAGCAGTTTTGCCAGAGACCTGCTTTTGACAGCATGGGAAGGAAAGGCAGGATACCTCCAGTTACCCTCCCTTCCCACAGAGGATGCCAGCTGGTAGCTGCTTTACTCCCACAGGGACCAACTCCCAAAGAAGACAACAGAACCTTGGGGGAGCTCTGGGGCTCCTCCATGGAAAAGGAGGGTTGAGGCCGCTCTGTTGATGGAGTGGTACCTGTTTGTGCTTTTCTGGCCCAGCCTTGCTGGGTAAGAAGCCAAAGGTGGGCATGCTGTAACACACTGCAGTGATTTTTTCCAACATAAGCCCAGCTCCAGACCTTAAATGCATCCATGTGGTTTTAGACAGTGATTTGCCTGAGCAAAGTCTTGCTCTTCCTCCCTTTGGAGGGAAGTGAGAGTGCAGCTCCAGGCCCATTTCAGATGTCTTGGACTGAAGCACTGGTGCTTGGTTCCACAAAGGCTGGAGGGTAGGATGGGTGGGAGGTGATGGGGGAGCTTTGTGTGGGAGCGTGGATATGTGGAGAGAACTAAAGCCCACACAGGTACTGGCCATGGGCTGTGCTCTCCTGGCTCCGGGAGTGGGGCCAGTGCTCTGCCTTGGAGCTGAGTGACAGCTCTTCATCTTTGCTTCCTGTGGTTTCTTTCTCTAGAGCAGAACGCAGCAGAGCTGTGCAGTGCATCTTGCAGGGCAGCACGCTCTGCTGTTACAGCCCCTACGCGGACGAGCTCAGCAGTGACCTCGCGGTTGTGAGGACTCTTTGGAGAGCCCAGCGTGCTCATGTGCAGCTTTGGTGTGAGAGGTGATCTGAGCTCTGGTAAGTCAACTTTCAAACTAAATCTATTCTAGGACAGAAAACCAAACCAAATCCTCCTGCTGTTTGGGTGTTAATGAAGCCAGCTGCTGCTACAGGCTCAGGTACAGCTGTTTTGTGATAGTCATGGTGCAAAAATCCCTGCTATGGGATGTGTCTGGAAACGTGTCCCAGCTTCTGGTTACAATAAAAACCTGTCACTCTTTGGGCTTGTTACCAAGTCCAGTGAGTGAGCAGCAGGCTCAGCTGTGGAGGCAGTGGCCCAGACACAGACTGGCTGACTCTGCAGTTAGCACAGCGCTGTTGTCAGCTCCTGCTTTGCTTTTTAAATCCCAGAGCTACTGTTAAAAATAACCTGAAGATGTTTAATTAAAGAACATGCTCTCTTTAGCATCACAGAATGTACCAGCAGTGGGGAACTTCTGTACAAACTCAGAGACATTTCTGTCATGTCCATCATTAATACTTGTGACTTGTGATTGAGGGGAATCCAGCATTCTTCTCCTTTTTATGTCGGTGCATTACTAATTCTATTCAGTTGATGCAATCTGGACATCCAGTCCAGGGGCAGATCTCTGTGTCTGATTGTTTGACAGTGATGCTTTAGAATTAAACCCAGAAAAACCTCACACTTGAGCAGAGTTCAAAGACTCAAGCTTGGGTTTTCTATGCAAACGTGTCTAATAATTTAATGCACTCAGGATCCAGTGGAAACTTTGATGTAGGCTTTTGTGTGGTTTTGTAAATCAAATAACTTTGTGCAGAAATAGTTCAGTGATGCTTTCTGGGTTGTCTGGAAGAAATAACAGCCCTCCCTGCCCCAAAAATCCAGACAAGCCCCACCAGAACCACGCTGAGGAGGCAAGGCTGGATTTGGGACTGATCAGAGTAGATTTTAACATGGTGGGTGAAGGGTACATTACAAGAAGAGGTGGAAGTGGCTGTGTACTTGGCAAATACATGCTTATTATAGACTCTGTCGCTTCTATTGCCTCTTACAGAGAGCAAAAGTGTTCTCAAACAGATGGATGTGCATGGTGGGGTCCTGCAGTGTGTATGTGACTGTTTGGGACAGGGTAGAAGAATGACTTGTAAATGACTTGTGCTTGACTTGTGGGGCGCAGCAGCCAACCCATCCCCTGGGCCTGTCCTGCCCCATTAATGGCTCCACAGACCACCTCTTTCCCTAGTTGCAAGGCTTTACTCTGGCACTAGACAAGATGGATGTTCAGTGGCTCTTGCTCTGGCAAAACCCAGGGATAAAGGTTGTTTCAAGCGCTGTGCTGCTTAAGTTACAGCTGACCTGTGCCTGGTTTTGTGTTCGTTTTCCTGTGTGTGCACAACCCCTTTGCTATGAGGTGCAAGACCTATGTAAGCACATACATAAAGTGAAACCTCATCTTTTCCCTTTCTGATCTTCCACATATTTTGGGTGCTTTTGACTTCACCAGATAAACAGCTCTTGGAAGGAAGTGTGATTTCAGAGTTTCCTTTGGAAAGCACCCAGCACCCTTTGTGGGTTTGTGCTGGCCATGGCTCAGTTTAGCAACATTGTGCGTACTGGAGCTGGGTTTAATGTCTCTGTTAGTGACATCTGTTCAGGTGTCTGTGTTTGGCTCAGTTACTGAAATGTCTTTTATATTTGATGGAGAGAAACTGCTCTGCTGGAGCAGCATTGCTTGCATGATGCGAGTGACCTGGATGAGGAGTCTGCTCATACAGCGCCTCCTTCCTGTATGTCAGACACACAAACCAGTCCTTACCCTACACCAACTACCTGTTTCTGTTCTGTGCTTTAAATACTGATTCTTAGCAGGAAGGTTCCACACATGCAGCACAAGGTAAAGCAGTTCAGCGTGGCTGCTTCTGGTGTTTCAGTGTTGCCACCTTGTGATGGTTTTAATGCCAGTGTCAAAGCAGAGTTGCTGCTGTGCAAACTTCAGATGCTTGTGGTTTAAATTAGTTCTTCTCTCTTCCAGCAACACCACCTCCCACCTGAACACACTGAGCAGAGACATCACCAAGGCTTCACATAGCTGTTGAGAGGCTTCAGCTCTTACCCACTCAAGATGAAATCACACACAAGAACCTCTTGAGGTAAGGGGTGGTTTAAGACTCATACCCCATGTTGGATGTCCCCCCAGCAGAAATCATGGCAGGCATTTCCTGGACTGAAGGAGTCTCCAATGAGACAGGTGCCAATTCCAGTGCAGAATTCCATTTGGAAGCAGACTTCCAGTATTCCTTGTTTACTGTCATCTACAGCTTCGTCTTCGTGCTGGGTCTGATAGAGAATGTGTTGGCTCTGTACCTGCTGTCCTGCAGGGCAAAGCACACTTCCCATTCCTATGTGTACATGATTAATCTAGTTCTGGTGGACACCTTGTTTGTGTGTGTGTTGCCTTTCAAAATTCATTACCACCTGAATGGGAACAACTGGATCTTTGGGGACGTAGCCTGTAGGATAACGGGGACTCTGTACTACATCAACATCTGCCTCAGCATCGCCTTTTTCACCTGCATCTGCGTGGACCGCTACATCGCGGTGTTGCACCCCTTCACGTACATCCAGATCAGGGTCATCCATTACGTGGTGGTGGTCGCAGTGCTCTGGGTGGTCGCTCTGAGCATCATGGTCCCACTCATCCTCGGAGGTCCCCTCCACAGCAGGGGTGTGGGGAACACAGTAGTATGTTTTGAGAACTTTGCCACCAGCAGCTGGACTTCCCGCATGACAACTTACAACATCCTGGCCTTGGTGTTCGGGTTTGTGATCCCATTTTCCATCATTCTGATCAGCTACCCTCTCATTGCCAAGAGGATCTCCCGCATCAAAAGCAGCATTCACAAGAGGAAGGCCCTGAGCACCATCTACATCATCCTGGTCATTTGTACTTTGTGCTTTCTCCCCTATCACCTCACTCACCTGCTCCACTTCCTGATGAGAACCCAGGTCATCCAGAACAAGGCATTTGCCAACTTGATCTACAAGATGCGGAAGGTCACCCTGGCCCTGGTGAGCTTCAACTGCTGCCTTAACCCACTCCTGTACTACTTCAACTCCTCCAGCAGGCAGTGGCACTTCAACTTCAAGCTCAGATCCAGGCCTCAAGTGGTGTTTACCATCTGCGACCAGAAACTTGGGGAGTTCTCCTATGTTTATAAACTTCATCAGAGAGACGGAGATGGAAAATAGAGATGGAATCAACTGAGCTGCTTGCAGTAAGTACACTGTTCATCTTTCGAACTGTCCCTTCAAAACCGAGCCTGTAACCCTACCCTTTCTTCATACAGGGCTGTTACATCCAAGGCCACACTGGAGGGAGGTGCCTAACAACTTAGTATTTGGATTAGCCAACCGGAGCTGTGTTCTTTGCAGTCCTGCCTAGCACACACTGTGTTTATGTACACTGATGTTTTGGTCTCCTTTTTATTTAACACTGGGTTGGTAGGAGAACACAAGGCTCTTCTGGAATGCCATGCAGCCCAGGAAAGGCTTATGTGAAAGAAACCAGCCTGCTGCTGGAGTGGATCAGGGCTGTCCTGCTTGGCTTTTCCCATTTTGGAGGGATCTTCCCTCCCGGGGGGCACACCAGAGCCAGCTGGGTTCACAGACTGCTTTCTGCTTACATTCCACAGCCAAATAAGGGCTTCTCATCCCTCCTTCCCAAGGAGGACAGGGTTTCCAGGGTTGTGCACCCGTGGGTTCAAGCTGGACATCTGTTAACACAGGTTTAGCTGATGGCAGATCCAAGCAGTTACCGGTCAGTTAACCCTGTGCAAGACCAGCAGTGAACAGGCTGCTCTGACCACATGGTCGTCAAGGGAAGGCCTCGATGCCAGCACAGCTCCTGCTGCAGTGCAGTCCTGTGCAGCCATCACAGTTTGTGATTATAAACCACAACACCTAACCTATCTATCTCCTCCCTTCTGTTAACAGCCACACAGCTTCTGAGAACTGCTGCGTTTTTTCCACCCTGTGAGACTGTGGAGAGAATGTATCATGTGGGGGTTTCAGAAGCACCAGGAACCCACTGGCCAGGCTGATAAACTGCTTAACAGCCAACAAGATTCTGAAGATGATGTTGATTTGGTAACAGATACAGACTGTGTGCTCTGTTCCTTCCCACGCCACTCCCAACTCTATGAAGTGTGTGTATGTACTGACTGCTGAGCGGAGGACTGCAAAGGGAAGGTGGCCTAGGGCCTGCTGACCAGGGCAGGAGGAGGGCCTAGCTCTGGCAATGGGCTGAATCCGTGTTTCCATTTCCAAATGTGCAGACTGCAGGTTGAAGGTGACACTTGGACCTGTGAATGTCACAACAAGCGTTGGGGTTCGTGGGTTATGCTGTGTTATTGGAACAGGAACTGCTGTGGACCTTAAAGGAGGGAGGGAGTGGGATCATGGGGCAGAATGGTGTGGGGAGATCAGTGATTGTATGTGTCTATATGATGTTGTAACTTCTCTTTCCACAATGGTTGCTCTGCCCATTCTCTGATGGCAGCTGCTACTCTGCTTCAGGTCAGAGGTAAGAGGGTTGGAAAATAAGCAGCATGGGTGTAGGGGTATGTTGGGGTCTTGGGTGATGGGAAACCATCCATGCACGATGGTGGTAAGCCAAGGGTCTTGCATTTGGAGGCTGTATTGATCAGCTAAAGCTGATCACTGAACCACTTCAGCAATAGAAGATGGATGCAGCAAGCAAACCAAGAACAGATGTGAAATCACTGTAATAGAGCTAAAGCTTTGTAACAAATGGCTTTTGTGGATGCATTTGTTGGGATGGGCCTGACTTGCATTAGTTATGAGTTATTGCTACCTGCAGTTTGAATCCCATAGAGTGGGTCTGTGTTTAATGATGGGTCAGTGACTGACCTCCCCCTTCCCGTGCTCTGCTTTTAGCCTGGAGGAATTATTAAGTATCAGTAGCAAACCTGCTCAAACTCTTCTAAAAAGCTGAGGATTCCTGACTTCCTGTGCTTGATGGGGTTGGAAAGACAAGTGCAAATCCTGGCACTTGGAAATGGAGCCGAGGAAAGCCTCCGTGGGAGTATTAGAACAAACTAATCCTTTACCTTTCATGAGAGACTGCTATTTTTGTCCCATTTATAGGCTATGGAGAAGCCTCCCAGCACTGGAGGGACTGTTCCTTCCACCTAAGCACAGTCTTTATGTTCTGCACAAAGGCAAAAACTAATTCTTAGCCTCCATCCAGAAGTGCAGCTTTCCTGCAGGCTGGCAGCTGCCATGGAGGGAAGTATGGGTAAGGAAATGTTACACTGCTGGGTAAAGAGCAGGGTTAGGGGGTTATTCTCTTGCCTCCATTATAGGGTGCATGTTAGTTGTGATGCTTTGAAAGCTCCTTGTTTCACTGCTGAGGGTTTAAGGGAAAGGAGCTTAAAGAGCATCTCTTACAGCGTGAGCAGCACTAAAGGTGTCCTCACGACTCTAAAGCTGCAGTGACCCCTGGCCCAGGTCTCCAGCGTGGTGCTGCTGAAGGGTGTAGGCAGGCACTGCACAAACACTGTAATTCCTTTACTAAAACAAAGCCATTAAAAAGCATTGACAGGGTAATAACCAAAATAAACCTGACTCTCTGAAGCACCCCTGAGAGTGGTGCCCTCGGGGGGGCTCACGCTGTGCTCTGGGGGAGTCCTTTCTTCAGAAGGGAGGTGAGATAGCTGCCCAGTTCTTCGTCCTAGAGAGAGCAGAGCAGAGAGAGACGGGATGAAAGCAGTCATCTGCTTGACTTGGCCCTGTGGGCAGTAAATTCAACTCTGGTACCTAGAAATAGACTGAAGGAGTTCTAATGTTAGCAGTGTTCATAAATGGAAGCAGTCTGGGCAGCACAGATGTATTTCTGGGTGTTCTTTCATAATAACAATGCAAAACTCCCTTTGGCAAAGCAGGTGTCTGGGCTTGAGGTACCCCTTTTGAGGAAAATGACCTTTTGTCTTGAAAAAGGATATAGAACCATTGATTTTTTTACCTTTTCCTTTTTTTGCCCTCAAGAAGGCAGCTCTTTGCTGTAAAAGCATCTAAAAATATAGCCTGAGAAGTACACTTTTGAAAGGAAGAAAGTTCAGACTACAGCTGATGTTACCACTGGTTTGTGTTATCCTGCTTTCTGCTTGTTGTTCACACCTAACAGATACAATGTCAAATACCTCCAAGCTATGGCAGTACTGGTGTAGTTCAGATTAGAAGCTGGGTACTGTAATGTCCTCAAACCACAGATATAATTGCAATTAACATGTAATTAAATAATTGGTTAAGTACATCTTGAAGAATTCCAACCTGGTAGGTCCAGGACACGAGCAGAACTTTGGTTCCTTGATCCTCGGAGTGTGCCGTGGCTTGGATAAGAATGGACTCCACTGTTATAGACCCATCAGGGAGATGCTGCACTGAGTAATCTTTCAGGACCCTGGTAAGAGAGAAGATAGAGGATTTAGTTTGGATGGGACATGTGTGCAGGCTGAAGGGTGGTCTCCCCTGTACCTCTGAATCCCCAACACCAATGTGTTCACAGTGGAGAATGGGGCTGATTTATAACTTATTTTGGTGCTTATATTAATCACGTAGCATTTCCTACAGAACTTATTTCTGGCTCTCATGATGTGTATGGCTCCAGGCTGAACCCTGTTCATCCAAGCAAGGGACTACTCAAAACTGACCAGCTGCCTGTAGGAAGTGTTTAAGGTTCATGTGCTGCAGCTACTGAATAGCTGTAAGAGGCGTCTTGACCCTGCACTTGACACTCTCTCTCTAAACAACTGTACTGACTTCAGGTAGAAGCAGCAGTGAGAGCAGCAAGGCAACAGGAACAAAGATTTGGGGTGTTCTGCCTATAGCCTGGTAAAGAGCAGGAGCTGGAAGTGACGACCAACCTCTGCCACTGCAGTGTATCCACTGCTCTGGTTATGGGATCTACACAGGCTCAAATCTAGAGCAGTTGAGTCTTTTGGGCTGCAGAGACTTTTCTCCTTGTAACTCAGGGGCAGAAAGGAGGGAGCATTTGAGCTTATCACTCTTAATACAGGTGGTATAAGTCCATGGCTAGCGGGGAGAACCACAGAGAGGTGAGGCTGGCCTCACCCTTTGAGGTGGTTGTACACACGCAGCACCGTCTCGTGCTCCTTCCGCGGGTCCTGGATGTGGACGCGGCAGGTGAAGCGCAGCTGATGTTCCGCCAGGCCCAGCTCCTTCAGAGCCTGCTCGGGGGAAAGCAGGCGGAAGCTCTGCAGAGGGAAAGCACAAACCATTACAGGGTGTTTGTGAAGCTCTGGTCCTCCTCGTGTCCGTCACTGGGAACCCCAGCAGGTACCATCGCTCCCTTTCAACCTCTCAAATGCCTCGGGCAGCAGTAACAGCGAGGCACGAGCCTATGACAGGCAGTGAAGGTAAAGGTAAGGTGGTGGCAGGATGTCCACCTAAAATGCCATATCAATTCTTTAGTTCCCAAAATTAATATAAGAATCTTTTTACTTACGTTATCCTTCATCATTAATGTGCCGTGCATGAGCTTTGGCTTCTTGACATCTGGTAGGAGACCTAAACCAAGGCCAAAGAAAGAGACCATGGTTAATGATGAAGTACTTACTTTTCAGACAGACACCTGCTATAGGACTTAACAGTTTGGATTTCTGAGTCTTGCTGAGGTTCAGAGACTAGTATTTTACATCTCTGTTCTCCTGTTAAAGTGCGTGGTGCTTATTAAACCATCATCAGAACTTCAGACACGGGAGAAGCCATGCTCAGCGATACAGACCTGCAGCCTCTTCCCACCTCACCTCCTGATCTGAGAGGTTTCAGATTTTTCTTAAATATATTTCCTTAACTTTACAAAATTTATCCAATTTTATAAACCTTATAAAAAGGTTTATCAAAGCAGTTCAGACCTAGCAAGTAAAAACTTGCATGGGTTTTGTTTCTTAGCAGTGGGCAATGAGCAGCAAACAAGGCAGTGTGTGTTAAACACTACTGATCACACATTCACAGCACAGTAGCTGCTGCGTGTCACAGGAAGCCCTCCCAACCTCTAAATGCTGATAAACCCTCTTCTTGTACAGGAAGCTCTGTTGTATGTCCTCATAGGTGTTCCCAATATGCAGCTATTGCCACCTAATACAAGTACAATACGGTGGCAGGGCCCAACAGATGAACTTCTTGGTTGAAAGTGTGTCACCTATGGCCGTTTCTCTCTTCAGGAGTCCCAGGGATATGTCCACGGGAATGCTGGGATTGGTGAATATTGTTGTGGTCTCTCCATTGGCAGGCATGTAGCAGCTGACATCTGCAATGTAAAGAACCAGGGTCAGAAGGACAGCGGC